TGCACTTCCCAGGAAATGCTCTGAGGTAAGAGGAATAAATCCAGACTAAATATTTTTTTTCTCTGCTGGATCAGTGATTCAGTGGTGCAGGTATGATTTTTGTCAGGCACACTGGTGACATACAAGCAGCAGCAAAACCCACTAATGAGCTTGGTATGAGATGCTATATTGCTCTGCCCCCTCAAACAGCTAGATTAACTGTGTGTTTTCTTATATCCTGGAATGTGGTCAATAGCAAAGCAGGGAGGGCACTGCTTTTTAGTAAAACACTTCAACTTACACAGGAATATTATGTAGCAAGTTCTAAAGTGCATTTCTGCTGTTTCCCATCCAAGTGATTTTTCACGGTGCGTTTGGTAAGGAGTTATTAACTGCAAACAGATTTAAGTTCTGAGGACTCCCTAGATCTAAACCCATGCTTGTCATTCAAATGGCCCAGCATGAATCAAGTACAAATGTGAATGTTCACAGCCAGTGTGGTTCATTTGGTAACAAGCATGCATTTAGCATTACACAAAACACAGCCGTCTACCCCTTGACAGTCCCTGCTTGTCCTGGTATTTTGAGGGAGAAGGAGGAGGACGTTTATTCTTGATGCTGAACTTTAAAAGTGTATTTTCTTTTTAAATGCCAACCTATTCCTTTTCCATGTGTGTTTCAAAAATGTCTCTGACACTTTGGCTCTATACCCAGGTATTCCAGCTGTTATTCTAAGATGGTGGAAATTAAAGTTCTGTTGACTTCACTGGAGCTTAGCCAGTTTTTTCTCAGAGGAAGATTTGATTTCAGAGTATTTTGTGGAGCCTAGATCTGACACATGCACTGCAGGCACTGTGGGTGCTGGGTAGGAGCTGTACAGATGCCAGTAGCTGGAGAGGTTGGGGAAGGGAAATTCCACTGTGTAGTAAGGGTTGTAGTTCCTACCTTTGATCTCGTATGGAAATGGAATAGCCAAACTGTCTCCTGCAAAGGTGGAACTGTGTTAGACTGTCCTTTTCTAACCCAGAATGGTGTGCTAAAGGGTTGGGAGTACGGTCCTGACTCCAGGTAGACTAGTGCAACCCTGATATAGCAGAGGTTTGAACCTTGTCCTCCTGAATTTCCTGTTGTAGTCTCAGGTCACTACAGCCTGAAAGCACCTCTCTCATGTCAGAGACCTAAAAAACCACCTTGGCTTAGTAAAATTGAAGTGCTGCTTTTTTTCACATTCACAGAGGGAGTCACTGCCCCAAATCTTCCCTGCTTTTTCCAACTGTATCATCTTTCCTATTACAAGTTACTGTGAATCCATTTGTAAGGTATCTGCTGAACTCCATGGATAAGTAGTTCCCAATCCTGACTTTATTTAGTTGTCTCTGTGCATAATCCTGCTGCAGACACTGAAGTTAATGATAAATCTCCTATGGATTTCAGTGTGTGCAGGTTGGGGCCCTCATATATTAAGGGTTTATCACTGCAAATTTGCTGGAAGCACCAAACCCTCACAGCTCCTGTATGCCTCATTTTCAGTCCTGCAGAGACATCATAATACCAAGTTTGTGATAGCTGAGTCATTCCCATGACAACAAAAGAAGTCAGAAATACAAGATTCTGACCTTGCTGTGTGATCAAACCAAGCAGAGAAGCTGGGCATTAAAGATAAAAGTTCATCAAACACAAATGCCTATAAACCCAGCAAGCAGGTGGGAGAGCAGCAGCAGATAAAGACAAAATCTTTCTCCTTAAGTTTTGCCCCAAGGCAAATGTCCCTTCACAGAATTTTCTAACGCTAGGACCTGCTATGCTTAGCCTGAGTATCTTCCCCTGCAGAAAGCTCCAAGGAGAGCAAATGATATCTTGTTAATAAAACTATTTCACATTAATTCTTTCTGGAGCTGTGAAAAGCAATACTATTTCACAGCTCCTTCCAGTATATCTAAAAGCAAGACACTTAAACAACACTTTAATCTCATTCCATTTCATAGAGCTGCATTAATAGTCTTTTGCTATAGAAATCAAGGCAGAGTCAGTGACCTGCTCTGAATCAAATGCTGGGTTGGTAGAAGAATTGATGCAGGAAAAATGCTAGTGGCTAACTGGTAGTGTGGTTGACATAGGAAGTCAACGACAGACCTGAGTGGCCATAAGACATCTGGTTCCTGGGCTGTGGCAGGAACAGAAATGAAGCACAACTGGAAAAGCCCACATTTCCCACCAGTGCATGGACAGAAAGAGATAACTGGGAACAGAGGTGTTGTAGCTGGTCTGGCAGTGAAGGAATAGTTTCAGATTGAAGTATCTTCCAAAATCAGTGTTAAAGGATTGACAGCAGTAAAGCAAAAGTTTTAGGTGCTGCTAGGAAGAGGAGTAGTCCTCCTAACTCTGTCAGTGAGAGGTGCCAATTTGAGTTTTGTGAGAACACTTTTGAGACTTCCAGTCATAATGAACTATTGAAGTCAGTCACAGGATCCTACCCTTTAACAACATCAGCATTAAGACTTACTGTGCCTTAGTGGTAGAGCAAAGTGCATGGTTTGAATTGTCCCAAGGTAGGGGTAACTCAAATCTGATCTTCCACCAACAGAACTGCACCTGTTAATATGTACAAACAAACTTGTTCATGGCCTCTGGAACCTGGAACCCTTTCCTTATAGACGGGGCACTATGATAAATATAGTTGTCATAATTCTGTATCATACAGATGCAATGAAGAATTAAGAATGAGAAATGTTCAATGAAAGCAGAGCTGTCAATGACAGTCCTTGGTTCACACTGAGTGCATGAAGGAGTGACTGTTTCATGGCATTAGAGACAAGCCCAGAAAGCTCAGACCAAGAGCTGTGGCTGCTGCCCTTATGCATGGTGGTTTCAGCATTGACAATAAACAGAGAAGTCCTGCAGGTATCATTCAGGCTGATGAAATCCAGGGGAGATGCAGGATTTCAGGACTGGACTCCAGGACTAGAAAGGGGAAAGTCTTGTTAGTATAGCTACTTATGCCTGGTACTTTGAGAACAGGCTACACTAGGAGCAGATGACTCCTAAAAGGCAGTCAGGTTGGTGAAGCTTTCATTTTGTGGGTAAATGATCACTGTACCCAGGGAACTTGCCCAATGGAGCTCAAAGTCAGTCCCACTTACACCTTGGCATGTACACTTTACTGACAGTTCCAGTGTCCAGGGATCTGAGTTTTCATTGGCCTCAGCGAGCAAATTGCAACCCAGATACCATGGCCCAGAAATGACAGAGCAAGCAGCTGTTGCTCTGCTGCCTCTACATCTGCCTGACACAATAATTAAATCTCATCAGCCGCTCGATATAATGGAAGCAAACCAACTCCGACAGAAGGATTTTGCAGCACAACTGTCTCATTACATGCAACTGCAGCTATAAATTTGCCTTCATAATTAATTCTGTAAGCATTTATATAGAGCTATAAGGGACTGAGTAATTTAGAGAGCAGTGGAAGAGATCATTAAAAATAGCAAAAGGCATAATTACTTTCTTGTACCATCATTCTCCTCCTTATCTTCCCTGCTGATGTTTCCCATGGACCATTCGTAGTGGTGCTGTAGTGGGACAAAGGCATTGCCTGTTACGCATCCCATAGGGGCCAGAAGCCTAATTTTGCTGCAGCACTGACATTCCCTGTGTCTTCAACACAACAAATTAACTTACTTGTGTGGAAAACGTGGGTTCTACTGTGCTGATATTTATGATCCAGGCTGGTAGCTAATGTAGCTGCATTAAGGGCTGCATTTATGCTTGTTAATCCTTGTTTGATGAAATGAATGGGTTTTCAAGCTCTCTTTTACAGGACATATTTTGGGTGATTTTTAAATTCAGCTTACAGGCTGAGAGAGTTGGGGAACTGTTCAGCCTGGAGAAGAGAAGGTTGTGTGGGGACTTCATAGCAACTTTCCAGTACCTGAAGGGGCCTACAAGGAAGCTGGAGAGGGTCTCTTTGTTAGGGACTGCAGTGACAAGATGGAGTAATGGGTATAAATTTAAATAGGGGAAATTTAGATTAGAAGTTTTTAAATGTGAGGGTGGTAAGACACTGGAACAGGTTGCCCAGGGAGGTTGTGGATCATAGAATCATAGAATCATCAAGGTTAGAGGAGACCTCTAAGATTATCAAGTCCACCCATTAACCTACCACTTTGCTGTAATCCCTGAACCCTAAACCATAGTAATGGGTATAAATTTAAATAGGGGAAATTTAGATTAGAAGTTTTTAAATGTGAGGGTGGTAAGACACTGGAACAGGTTGCCCAGGGAGGTTGTGGATCATAGAATCATAGAATCATCAAGGTTAGAGGAGACCTCTAAGATTATCAAGTCCACCCATTAACCTACCACTTTGCTGTAATCCCTGAACCCTAAACCATATCTTTCATTTCAGGATCCAGACTCCTCTTAAACACTTCCAGGGATGGTGACTGCACCACCTCCCTGGGCAACGTATTGCAGTGCCTGACCACCCTAACAGGGAAAACATTTTTCCTAACATCTAATCTGACTCTCACCTGTCTCAGCTTATGGCCACTCCCTCCAGTCCTCTCCCTGCAGCCATGGCAGGACAGATCATCCCACACTTCTCTACAACGTCCTGTCAGGTAGTTGTAGAGAGCCCTGAGGTCATCCCTGAGCTGCCTCTTCTCAAGGCTAAACAAGCCTGATTCCCTCAGCCTTTCCTCATACAACATATTTTCTTGGCCTTTTTATCCTAGATGCTGCAACCCTGGCAGTGTTCAAAGCCAGGTTGGATAAAGCTTTGAGCAACCTGGTCTAGTGCAGAGGTGCCCTACCCATGGCAGGAGGTTGGGACTAGATGATCTCTAAGGTCCATTCCACCCCCTAAACATACTATGATACCACAATACCAAGCACTCAGGCTGGATCCTATGGCAAGGACAACATGGGTTGTTTTGACCCTCTACTTGGCCATTTGATCTATTTGAAATGGACCTCCCCAGTTCCTTATTTTTCTGAATTACTCCTTGGTTTGTGTCTTTCAGAAGCGCTCTGGAGGCGTGTGCTCATACCTTCATCGGGTGTGCTGGGCAGCACTACCACTGCAACTCCTCCTCTTGCTCCTCCTGCTCCTGGCCTTCCTCCTGCCCCTGGCAGAAGAAAGTCGCAGCTGCACACTGTCCAACAACTTCCTTCGGTCCTTCAATCTGATGCTGAGATATGAGAGGCCACCTCCAACCTAACCTCACAGCATGGCACGAGGTGACTGTCAGAAAAACAGACTCTTTGTTTTTAACAATTGCAACTATTGTAGATTTTAGGGCTTCTAACAAGGCCATCATATCAACTGCATAGGCCACATAAATGCAACATAAGATTAGTCCATTTTAATCAGGTATTTGAGCAAAATTAATATTTTTTACAAAATTTTATTCTTATATTTATAATATGTATATAGAGATTGTGTATGTATATGTATGTACAGATATATATATATATAAATGCATATCTGTGGTCAAACTAACATCCACCACCCACTCATCCACTGTTCAAGGATAATCCTGCAATGTTTCTGTCTCTGCCATCTTTCAGCAAACAAGACTGAAGGATGGTTTTGTTGGGGGGGGAGGGTTTAGGTGATTTTTAAAATCAGATTCTTATTGTTTACAACCAAAATCAGAGCATGTGGGCATGCACCAGAGTGCAAACTGGAGAGCAGCCACAGTGGAATCCTATTTGAGTACAGTGGTTCACATTCAGCCCAAGCAGGATTTGGACTATTCCATTTGAAATCTTGAGCTGCTTTTTCAGTATCTGGATACAAGGATTGCAGAAGCTAATGGAAGTGTTTCTACTGACTTCAGTAGGAGTGGGAGTGGACCTCCTCTTGTTCTCATTTTTTACCAGATTTCTTTTCCAATTACTGTGTTCTCCAGCCCACCTGAATCAGGAGAGGTAGAATACAGTAGGAAGAAAGCTGGGGGAAAAAAAAGATATTTTTTTTTTAGCATCTCTTTAGCAGAACTTTTAAAATCAGGTCATAATTTTCTCAACAAATTTGTGAGCACTGAACAAAATTTTGTATCAGCAACCTTGTCTATAAAAAGCAGTGGAGTTTTTTTGTTGTTTATGAGGTTTTGTGGGTTGGTTCGTTGGGGGTTTTATACTTTATAAAAAGGTGTTTGGTAATGGATCATAAAGCCTGACCAGTGGGATGCAGCCTGGCTTGGTGTCAGCAAAGCAAAGATGGATGTACTTTAATAATACCACCCTGGAAACAAGATTCCTTCCTAGGATGTTTTTATATTAATGGTTCATTGAAATGAACTGATTGTATCAAAGACAGTCAAACATAGATTTCTTGTAGTCTAAACTCTGAAATGATGACAACTTGTCATTTATTTACCTAACCTTCTGCCTATCAAATTTCTGAATGTACATTTTAACATTGCCTTTTAATGTAAAAACAATTCTCACTTTCCTGTGATAAAGCCATTCTTAGCAGTGTTTTATCTAATTGATTTCTGACAGAAAAGGTAGTTTCTAAAAATCCGTGCCATTTCTGAGAGCTATCCCTTATTGTATCACGTGTTTAGCCACAGTAGTAATAGAAACAAACAAAAAAATTAACAGAAGAAATAGTTACTTTCCCCTTCATGGCTATGTTGCAGGAGGAACTTGGTTCTGGGTATCACTATGGGGTATTTGGTGCTCTGTTCCAAATAAGTTCCAAACTAATGTTAAATCTGTTGTGCAGGTAAATTATGTAGTAGCTGAGAGACTGAGACAAAGTCATTAAAGTTTTTCTAAAGAAACAAACTTGGGTAGAATAGGGAGGTGAAGAAGCAAGAAGCTCATTAGAGGCACAAAATGAGGGAGAACAGGCAGTGTACAAGATGACCAGTTAAACACAGAGAAGTGTCCAACAATTTATGAAGCCTAAGGAAAGGAGTCACAATTAACACAGAGGACAAGAACACAGGCTCTATGGAGGAAAAATCTTGGAATTTTTTTGTTTGGCAATCCCTGCTACACTATTGGTGCTATTGCACATTAGCTTCTCTTCAGCAAGGTGTAAAATGGAGCATGTCACAGGGACTAACTGTTCTGAGGAGACTCTTTCACCAGCAGGACTTTGTCACTGTGTTCCTAATAATGTTTCTGACTACACTGGGTTTGCTAACGTTGGATTAAAACGCCAAAATTCTGCTAAAAGTGTGAAGGAGAGTAGAAATTAGAGGAGAGAGAGCAGGGATGGTGAAGGTAATCAGTTAGAGTGCAAGGGGAGCATGAGGAGGAGCTGAACTGATGTGGATTAAAACCTGACTCTGAACCAGCAGAATAGGACTGAAAGAGAAAGGTGAGAGGAGT